TATTATTTATTGATCATCGTGTATAAAATAGAACAGTATCTCAGACTTAATTACAAGTACGTCACGCATTACTGGATTGTGTCCAATGCGAAACCGTGCTATTGATGGAATTCCATCGATTTTTCATCTTTTCTTTCTAATTCGCACCAAGAGATGGAAAATGGGAGCAACTAAAAAAATGAGTAGGTTCTCAAGACCCTGATTAAAATCATTTTCATACAGTTCCGTTTCTCAGTGCTGCTTTACTCACCCATCCGGTTGCCTGATTTAGTTGGCTTCAGCGTGAAACTGTTTTTACGCTAAACCTTATGATTCACGTCAATATTCCCACACCCACTCGGCCCCTTCCCACTCACCCTCCTATTTCTAAAACATGCGGTATAAAGGGGCTCTCTTATTCTGTTTTTCCAGGCAGGGAGAGGGAGGGGTAAATGAAATCATTCGCATCTTTTCAACTGCTGTAGTCTGAAGAACATAAGTGGAATTTGTAAGTTTATTCGGTGTTCACAAATCATAGCCAAGTTGTAAAGGACTCGTGAATAATAGATAAAGGTTTTTAACAAGAAAAACTGCTTTGAAAAACTTTCAATCAAGGGAATATTCACAATATTCCACCCTTTGTTTGAAATAATATCACCCTCTTTTTAACCCAGTTTAGGGTGTCTGGGTTCAAGCGATGTGGCTCACCGTTACTTTGCCTCAGAAATCGTGTTATAACACTACCACCGATGTTTTGCCATTTTCATTGTAAACCATAATAGTCCCTTTCATTGGCCGCTTTACCCTTCCTAAAATTCGATTCAAGACTTTTCTATTCGATAAAAAGTAAATAAAACTTATTACCAATCCAAGTTCATTCATCCAAGAACATGGATCTATTAGTGACAGTTTCCATCTGCATTTCCTTTGAAAAATTCAGTCAGATTTCTTGTCGATATGCGAATAGTGAAATTGTCTACTTCCAATTGACTCAGAATAAGTAAGAATACTTCTCTTGCTGACAAATAATTGCGAAGCGTATCGTTCCATTTTCGGTTAAATTCCTTTTTAACATGAATGATCATAGTCCAACTACGATCACTCTCGTCCTTTTGCGATCACCTAACAGTCTTACCAACGGTTGAAAACTGCTCACAATTGTTGATTGTACAAGGATCGGAGATGAAAATTAGAAAAGGAAAAGATTGTTCTGTGTGACCACAATGCTCCAGTGATCAAACACACAATGATCATTTAAGACAAACCAGTTGAGAGCTGGTGCTGAATTTACCTTAGA